GGTTAATTCGAATTAGTAAATTTGAGACTGAGAAATTCTGTACGCGCAAGCAATGGATTTTAGCACAACATTATACAGATTTATTCTGGAAAAGATGGCTGCGTGAATATTTGCTGACCTTGATGACTCGTAAAAAGTGGCATGAAAAAGAAGCGCCTTTGAAAGAAAACGACCTAGTTTTAATTCTTGATGAAAATGTAAATCGTAATTGTTGGAATAAGGGAGTTGTAACGCAAGTATTTTCAGGTTCAGATCACCAAGTATGAGTCGTGGAAGTTCGAACTTCAAATGAATTATTCTTAAGACCAAGCGGAAAACTAGTTAAGTTTGCGTGAGTTGTACTAAACTTCCAGTTTTTGTTCAGCGGGGGAGGATGTTCTGGTTCAACCGCACAGTTACTCGTTCAATAACCCATTATATATTATTTGAGAATGCTTCGCCACAGAGATAAAATTGAAGTTCTGAGTAGGCCGCCCGCACAGAGTTCGAAAAGGAACATCTGGGGCCGCACTTTCCTGAATTCGAATGAGGCACAGGGCGATATAACAAATAGGTTCATCGCGGACGGTAGGCCATAGAAGCGTTCGTCGTTTGTCGTTGCCATGGGGCTTTTCTCGATGTTATTTTTTTTATTGTGAACTGTGAGGTTATGCTTCGGGGCAGTTCGATTTTGTCCGCCTAAACGATAACACGTTTGTAACATCAATTAATAAGTTATTTTCAATTGGTCTCTAAATTATTTTCCCCGAGTCAAATCATTCAGAACAAAGACTCTTTTTTAACTTATACAATGACAATTTCATAAAATATCTGAACGGCTACGATTCTAGTTTTTATTATTTAACTCTAAAAAAGGAGACTCGCATTCATCTGTGGAAGGTAAGGTTTATTCAAAAAAGTACAATTGATTATTCCCTTTCTTAAATTTATTTAATCGTATAATTCTAAGGAAATTGTATCTTCAATTTCTGCACGAATTAATTGTATCCAATTCCTTGCTACTCTTTTAGTTAATCAAATGATTAGATTTAAAAAATATATAAAACATGAACGATAATTTCCAATTTAATTAAAATTCTACCTCGTTAATTCAAAAGAAATTTTATGTAGACGAACATTTTAATTAAAATTTTCCCTCTTTAATTTCCTCTTACGTATACTTGGTTAGACTAAGGGTGCCTGTACATGGGCGTCTTGCAGTCTGGAGACTGCCAGCCAAAGCTCGATTGGCGCAATAATTTAAATCCTAAACCTGTGGCATATCACTCACAGAATTACTATTAAAAAAATTATTATAAAACAAAACATTTTTTACACTGCTTATAAGAGCTGTACAAACAAAAACGATGCCTATTACATCGTNATTTTTTATTACAAGAAAATATAATAAATAGAAGAATATAACTATAAATGTAAAGCGTGTATTATAAATTCTAGGTGATAGAAGTGCCCCCTTGCAAGTTATTAGATACCAGTGTGTATTCTAAAGGATCGAATCCATTTAAACAGTTGTGTCTCCACAAATCACTTCTCGGATCCAGATTTTCAGTGCATTCTCTGCATGTCAGTGACTTAAAAAGTTGGAAAAATAATTGTTGAGTGGCATATCACTCACAGAATTACTATTTAAAAAATTATTATAAAACAAAACATTTTTTACACTGCTTATAAGAGCTGTACAAACAAAAACGATGCCTATTACATCGTCTAACCTCAACAACTTAATTATCGTTTTACTCAAGAGAAGGCAAAGTGGCATGTATCATAACACAATATTAGAAAATAAAATTTAAAAAATGTATTTGATTTATCGAGCATTACTGAACAGTGAAACTTATCAAGTTAAGCGGGTGTGGGTGTCTGAACTTTTTAAAGAAGTGAATAGAGTGGCTCAAGGCGCAAGTGACAATCTTGTCTTGACTCTTAGGCTCCATGACAGACAAGGATTCATAAACTTTTTTAGAATGTCACCTGAGGCTTTTGATGAATTATTGTCATTAGTTGGACCAAAAATTACAAAAAAATTTTGTGTTAGGGCTCCAATATCTGCTACAATTCGCTTTCAACTTACTTTAAGATATCTTGCAACTGGTGATTACATAAATTCTTTGTCTCTGTTATTCAGAGTAAGTCCAACATCAGTGTCCAAAATGATTGGAGAAAAATTTCCAAAGGATTTGAATCTGAATGGAATTTTCCACATTGTTTTAGGATGTGTAGACAGCAAATTAGTTACAATGAAGGTAGATATATTTATGAATACACCTTTTTATATCATTAATACAAGCTTAATTAAATGATTTTACTTTCAGGCTCAACCACACAGCAGTTCCTATTTTTATGACTACAAGGGACATCACAGTATCCATCTGCAAGCTTATGTCGATGCTTACAAAAAGTTTATTGCTGTAGAAGTTGGAGCTTCAGGCCGGCAAAGTGATGGTGGTGTGTTCTGTAACAGCACAACGGGAAAAATGATCATTAACAAAAAATTCAACATCCCACAACCAGAGCCAGTGGTGCAAGATGGTTCAAAGCTGCCGTATGTGTTCTTGGGAGATGAAGCATTTGGTTTGAGCGATTACATGTTGACTCCCTATCCAAGAAGTTTGAAGTTGGATTTGAGAAAAAAAGTTTTTAACTACAGGCAATCCAGAGCAAGGCGAATAGTTGAGTGTCCTTTTGGTGAATTGATAAGCACTTGGCGGCTCTTCAGAAAACGTGTAGAAATAATATTGCCTGCCACTATTGAAGCAATGAAAGCCTGCGTCTGTTTACAAAATTTTTTGATTATGTATAATGAAGAAGAAAAGGATATCGACGAATCCGTTATCATTGATAAAAATACACAACTGCAGAGTGTTGGAAATATTAGTGCAAGAGCTAAGCGTAATGCTGCAGTAAAAGTAAGGGATGACTTTGCAGAGTACTTTATGAACGAAGGAGCAGTCCCCTTTCAATGGGAAAAAGCTAATAACTGTGACTTTTGACATTTATGTAAGGTGAATAAAATTGTAAGATATACGTATAATAACCAATTAAAATTGATTTTTGATTAAATGTNACGTTCAGACTTCTACTAATACAAGTTTTACAAAATTACAATAGTAACTTGCGGGGCAACTTACATTTTGTCATAGATTTGTTTAAACGAGTTATTTTATAGTACAATTAGGTGACGTCATATTCGATAAAAATTAAAACAAAATGTTGTACTAACACGAAATTTAAACATTGATATTTGTATAATCGCTTGACATTCCAGTGTTCTTTTGGAATTTCGGGCCTCTCCTGGGGTGCAGTACATGTGCCCACATTTCCACGCAAATCGAGTGACGCATACTTGGTGTACCCTTTCCATGATCAGCATACGAAAAAAATACGTGCACCTTGTTCAGCAGCTCGGCCACAACGAAACGCTCGAATCAGTGGTAAAACCGAACCCTCCTCGTAGAAGTCGATCCCACGTAGTAGCTATCTAGTTATTGTACAGAATTGGAGTCACGTCAGCAATCGTCTGAGTTATCGAGGCAGGTGGAAAAGATTGGATTGAAACACGAAAGTGAGAGGATCAGACTATCGAAACCAACAGACTCGTGCCACTTGCCTCACAAATAAGAGGTTATTATAGAGTAACTTTAACCACAATTTGCAATTTTATTTTTTCACTAATCGAGAATTTCATGTTACACTAGTATTTTTTTATCAGAATGTCCGAAGAAAATTTAACTAAACCACGTTTTAAATGGCATAACCCAGTAGGACCAAGGCCTGATAGCCAGTTTGAATATACCTTGGCAGGTTACCAAACTAGCAAAACATCTCAAAAGGCGAGGCAGTTGGAGATTGAACCAATAATTCAGGATGATTCTAGCTTCTTAAAGGACAATTTCAAGGTAAGGAAACAATCAATCGTAGACAAACATATCATTTTCTTACTTTTCTCAAAAATTAAATATACAGTGGCGTATTTGTAGTTCGAACGTCTGAAGAAAATAGACACCACAATATTTGTCCTGGATACACTCAACGTCATCGTAAGCACGAAAGTTCTTTGTTTAAGTCTTTGACTTGTTTCACTTTTTTTAATAATTCACAATTTTTTTGGTTTAGGTCAGTGGTCAATCCATTTCAGTTACGGGCATCAAGAAAGTTGAAAAAGACGAGGACGGAAATACTTCCTCAGACATCAGCGTGGATTTTAATATCCCAGATGAATATGATTCAGATAAGGTTAAGGCGTGGCTTGACTCGGACAATAATGTCTTGTGTGTGACACATGTTGCTCGAAAAAATGAGCCAGTTGTCGATGAATAGACTGTAATCAACATTAAGAATATCGATTTACTCACGGTCATCATCTATAAGAAGAAGAAATAATATATGATGCCGTTTCATTATTGTTAGCAGTATGGATTTATGGGTAGGCGATCAGGCAAATAAATGTACAACACTATCACTTTTATCATCAAACACGGACACGTTTATTGTCACTATCTTTAGTATGTACTATCTTAAGTACAATGGCAAAACGAACCGAAAAGGCAGGATCAAATAAAAGAATATACGAAGACAGAGAGTGCGTGTACGAACAGACAGACTGACTGTGCGAGAGTCAGAAAACTATAGGTATTAGATACTTAAGTGCAGCGTCACGGCGTCTCGTCAGACTTCTTGCTATTGCGCATGCGTGGGAATTTAGTTAAGAGTGCCAAATATACATCTTAGGGTGCCTGTACATGGGCGTCTTGCAGTCTGTGCCAGCCAAAGCTCGATTGGCGCAATAATTTAAATCCTAAACCTGTGGCATATCACTCACAGAATTACTATTAAAAAAATTATTATAAAACAAAACATTTTTTACACTGCTTATAAGAGCTGTACAAACAAAAACGATGCCTATTACATCGTCTAACCTCAACAACTTAATTATCGTTTTACTCAAGAAAAGGCAAAGTGACATGTATCATAACACAATATTAGAAAATAAAATTTAAAAAATGTATTTGATTTATCGAGCATTACTGAACATTGAAACTTATCAAGTTAATCAGGTGTGGGTGTCTGAACTTTTTAAAGAAATGAATAAAGTGGCTCAAGGCGCAAGTGACAATCTTGTCTTGACTCTTAGGCTCCATGACAGTCAAGGATTCATAAACTTTTTTAGAATGTCACCAGAGGCTTTTGATGAATTATTGTCATTAGTTGGACCAAAAATTACAAAAAAATTTTGTGTTAGGGCTCCAATATCTGCTACAATTCGCTTTCAACTTACTTTAAGATATCTTGCAACTGGTGATTATATAAATTCTTTGTCTCTATTATTCAGAGTAAGTCCAACATCAGTGTCCAAAATAATTAAAGAGACCTGTAAAGAAATATGGAATTGTTTGATTCCAATTGTTTTTATATCAAATCCAACCCAAAATGATTGGAGAAAAATTTCCAAAGGATTTGAATCTGAATGGAATTTTTCACATTGTTTAGGATGTGTAGACAGCAAATTAATTGCAATGGAGGTAGATATATTTATGAATACACCTTTTTCATATCATTTATATCATTTAAGCTTAATTAAATGATTTTTCTTTCAGGCTCCACCACACAGCAGTTCCTATTTTTATGACTACAAGGGACATCACAGTATCCATCTGCAAGCTTATGTTGATGCTTACAAAAAGTTTATTGCTGTAGAAGTTGGAGCTGCAGGCCGGCAAAGTGATCGTGGTGTGTTCTGTAACAGCACAACGGGAAAAATGATTATTAACAAAAAATTCAACATCCCACAACCAGAGCCAGTGGTGCAAGATGGTTCAAAGCTGCCGTATGTGTTCTTGGGAGATAAAGCATTTGGTTTGAGCGATTACATGTTGACTCCCTATCCAAGAAGTTTGAAGTTGGATTTGAGAAAAAAAGTTTTTAACTACAGGCAATCCAGAGCAAGGCGAATAGTTGAGTGTCCTTTTGGTGAATTGATAAGCACTTGGCGGCTCTTCAGAAAACGTGTAGAAATAACATTGCCTGCCACTATTGAAGCAATAAAAGCCTGCGTCTGTTTACAAAATTTTTTGATTATGTATAATGAAGAAGAAAAGGATATCGATGAATCCGTTATCGTTGATAAAAATACACAACTGCAGAGTGTTGGAAATATTAGTGCAAGAGCTAAGCGTAATGCTGCAGTAAAAGTAAGGGATGACTTTGCAGAGTACTTTATGAACGAAGGAGCAGTCCCCTTTCAATGGGAAAAATGCTAAAAAGGTATTACCACAACTAATAATAAAATATTTTCACGAGAAATATTATCACGGAAGTCACGAAACTGTCGTTAATGAATTACGTCAAACATTTTGGATAATTGGCTTGAGGCGCTGTTTGAGAAATATCGTGAATAAATNAGGATATATCTTTGCACATCTAGAATTGTTAATCACAACCTGATAATTACATTATTTTTGATCACAATATACTTATCCCTATACAGGTACTTATATTTGTAGTGTGCTTAATTTAACGAATGTGTACTGTAAATTTTTGGCAATAATCTCAATCTTTAGATGCCACTTTTTATATTAATCAGGTACCTTCTTAATTAATAATGTGTTACACACATGTCATATAGGATATATCTTTGCACATATAGAATTGTTAATCACAACCTGATAATTACATTATTTTTGATCACAATATACTTATCCCTATACAGGTACTTATATTTGCAGTGTGCTTAATTTAACGAATGTGGACTGTACATTTTGGGCAATAATCTCAATCTTATAAAAAATTAAATAAAACTTTTTTTTCTTTGATTCAGTTAAGATAATACTTCGATTTGAACTTCTAGTCTGGAGTGTACTGGGAAATCACGAAGGATTTCTCCAACCTGCAGCAAAAATCCATCCACACCGTCTAAAGGTTTGTTTTCCTTGAGACAAGACAAAATTTCACTGTCAAAGTCAGAAACTTTAGTATTAACTGATCCTGCAACAATTGTGCTATATTTAATAAACATTATTTTATTTTATTGTTTATTTAGAAGCTCTGTGAATATGTACGTACTTTTTCTAGGCTTCTTTGCGTAGAAATCAGGTGCAGCTGGTTCTTGTTCTTCAAGGACTTCCTCCACATTGATCATGTATTAGCTACATCGTCAACACGATTTTTTACAGAAGAAACCATTCTAAAGTCAAATAATAGATGTTCAGTGACATACAAACAACTGTACATAAAAAGCAGTGAACACTTACGGTGCCATATCAATCACATCGTTGAAGAACTTCATAATTGCATAAAATGGAAATGACTGTGATGGGTCCTTTTTCTTCGAAGCAGCTGACCTACTAGGCACATACTCTATTACTCGCTTTCTTGTTTTTAAGTACTTGTTTCGAAGAGATTCCCATCTACGTTTAACATCTTCAACGTCTTCTACTTGCATCTCTTTACTTACTTCTAGCCAAAGAATGTTTTTTTTCAAAGTAGTGCGATCTTTGAAAGGGATCTTGTGATTCCACAAGGGGAGCCTCTTCTTTACAGCTATAATTAAAGATTTATCGTATGCATCCTGGTCAGTGTTGGCTGAAGCGTTGTTCTTGCAACTAGAACCATCGATGCTGGTATTGTCAGCTACAGGAGTTAAATTGGTCGTTAAAACTGAAATACATACATTGTAAATGAAATTTAAGTAATATTATTAGTCACAATAGTAGAAAAAGGTCTCGAAATAAAATAAAATAAATATTTACTTGGAAATAGTTGGTTATAGTTATTAGATACCAGTGTGTATTCTAAGGGATCAAATCCATTTAAACAGTTGTGTTTCCACAAATCACTTCTCGGATCCAGATTTTCAGTGCATTCTCTGCATGTCAGTGACTTAAAAAGTTGGAAAAATAATTGTTGATACAAATTCTTACAAAACTTATTTCATAATTAAGTTATGTTTCTGTTTTGATTATCAACAAAAGTATCTGTACAGAAAAACTTACACTTGCGTTCTCACTAATTTTTGTGATTATTAAGTAACATGCAATAATAAACGCAATTTTTTTAGGATGTATAGCGATGAACGTTTGATGTATGCGGGCCAGCGAGATATTCGCGACCACTTCTAACAGTTGAGTGTCATTGCACGTGCACACAAACTTTACTTGAAGAAAAATACACTTTTATTTGAATTTCCCACAACGAGCTTTGGCTGGCAGTCTCCAGACTGCAAGACGCCCATGTACAGGCACCCTAACAGTTATTAAATCTGTTTTATTCACAAATATTTAACAAAAAAACTTTTAAATTTCATAATTTTTATCAAATTAATACAAAATTTAAAGTTATAGTTTAAACTCTTCGTAATATATTAATTAATAGACGAATACCATTGTTGACTTTCTTTACACTCATGCCAAATGCGATTTTGTTATCCATATTGCAGTAAAAATACTTTTTGTTTGCAAGTCATCTGCAAAAATACCTGTAATGCTATAGGCATAGTAGAATTAAGATGGTTGAACAGATACATCAAATTTTGTATTCTCTATGACTAGAAATGAACTAAATCAATAAAAAAACCAAAATATTGTTTAAAAAAATACTTCTGACTAGCGCCCCCCCCCCTGTCTCGGCATTGCCCGAGATTTACTAAATAAAACACCGTAGTGTGTTGACATGTAATGTGAAACGTTTTCAGTCAGAAATTTTAAATCTATTCCTGATACTTTTCAAAAAAAAAGTCTTCTTGTGAAAAACATATTTGTTCGGAATGCATACAGCATATTTGGTAAAGTAAAAAGCTGTAGAAAGTGAAAAAAATATAATCATGCCGAAAAGTACCGCGCATTCCTTGTATCATAAAATAATCGTTGGCCTTAAAAGGCCGTTGATTTGCAGTTTCTCCCGTATAGTGTATGAACAGAGCTTTTTTTTAAGTTGTAAAAATTCATAGCTCAAAAAAAAGTAGATAATTAAAATTATTTTTTTACTCTTCTCTCACAACTTTAATACCAGAGCAACAAAGTCCTGGAGCTTAAACTCTACGACATTTATCGCAACAAAAATACAAATACATATTCTACCGATTTAAAAATCTGAAAGATTCAAGAGATTACTATGACGGTTATAGTGAAAAGCTGATCTCTCACTTAATAAATTCTTTCGTAATTTTCTTGACGCCTAAAATTGTATTCATAACATGCATTTAAAGGTTTCCTTCAAATTCGACTTTTTCTGACTTTTGGCATAGTTCGGACTCTTGTGAGCTCTAAAGGCTATTTTTTCAACTTTATAAGGTTGTAATGTATTTGTTGGCAAAGTTGTTCGACGTTCGATGAACTTGAAAAGGACCAGTGAGCTTCTTAAGTAAAATCTTTCTTGACTGAAGTTTCCAACAAACGTGACTGCCAGGATATCTCAGGGTTTGAAGCTTTGGAGCTACTTGTTGAGCTCTTTCCTAACATCTTCTTATATAACGTCGAAGCCAATTATTTTAGACGGTTAATTAAGACTAAAGCACCTATTTTTTAGACTCAGTTGTTTTGGTGATTTAAGGTGGAAAGGTTGGTTGGTGATGCTTGCCCGTTGGTAAGTGTCCCGTTGGCTCACGTTTATTATTTTTTTTCATAGCTGATAGGTTCTCCCAGCGCAGACCTTGGAGGATATCGATGATTCCTGGTTAAATGCTTAAATTTCAGAGGGTAATATAGAGTCGTCGGTCACTGGGGTTCCCAGCCTTACGACGAAAAACTTTGTTCGTGACATCTGCCAATTAATGATTGACTTGGTTTAATAGTGGCCGACTTTACATAGCCTTTTATAGTTGACGAATCGTCTCCGGAAATCGTTGTTAAAATGTATTAGTTGGCAAGATAATTTAAACTTAGGTGGCCCTTAAAAGAACCGATGAGATTGATGTTTAAGTAGTGAACGTAAATACTTATAACTGCCCTGAATGAGGCTGGTGGAGAAACTTGCAGCTATTCCTTATTATTATTCTTGATTATGAAGAACCAGCTGCAAAATTTTAGCAAAATCGGTTCAGTAGTTTTCGCGGTTAGCGATTACAACGATTTTAGCGACTTTACTTTATATATTAGTAAGATGAGATGAAAGTTTGTATATTTCTATTTAAATTGGCCATTATTGAAGAATTTTAGTATATTTTTCTACCACGGGCGTTTTTGAGAGGCTTGTGTGCCCTCGGTAAAAAAATAGGATTCGCCACAAAAGCACCATCGCTCCGCCGCAAAATATCGAGACGACAGCACTTATTCGACGGAAACTTAGTAAGATGCGCCAATCATTTATGTATCGTTTTAACATGATATAAAATGTTATTTAACACTACACAGTATAAATTTTAGCAGAACGCAAAAACAATTTTCTTCAAAATAATGTTTCTTACTACAAACAACAATGATTTTACCAACGACCAAAACTTTAATATTCTTTGTCAGTAATCAATATGAGAATTTCTTTCTCATTCCCAGCTTATCGTGATATTTATTTCTTTCCGAAATAAAAAAAAAAACTACAACACTTCTTTAATCACTTCAAAAATATTACCGAAACTTTAGAGAGCCTAACTTCATATTTTCCAAGAAATAAAATCAGAAACATTTTCAGTTAAACATAGATATGTACGTAAAGCTTACTATAGATTAGTTGCAAACTTTTAGTTAATAAGCACTGTTAATTTCTTTTATAATCAATTTAAAAAATCGAGGGTGATGAAGTGTACAACGGTTTAAATTACCTATTAAAACTTTAGTGAGCGTAGCTTTAATGTTTTACACAATTCATACGTAAGAGTAATTTTCAAAAAAGAAGTTTTGCAAGTTGGGCCCTAATGTGCTAGGCCTATGGGGGAGATATTTTTTTATTTCCACTCATGCTACAAACATTTTTTTTTCCAATTGTGATTACCACTTGTTAATTTTTATTTGTGTACTGCTAAGTAACGGCTTCATCACTCGTTTTGTACGAAAGTAGTCTTGTTACAAGTGTATCATCTTATAATTTGTTTTTGTAATTTACTGTATAACTATAACCCTCTTATGGGGTATAAGGTCCCAAAGGGCGTGGCTGTGGCTCCCTGTACTAAGAATAAACTGAAAAAGACTTTCCATCATTGTACAAACAGTTGGTTTTCGTCGGTTTCCTAATTTTCTCAATTTTCCTTCATGATTTTTTTACAAAATACAGTACAATTTGTCTGTGAAATTTCTCATACGAAAATATGATTAGACTGAGGGCAAATCCACTT